TGTGTTCTTTCCTGAAGATCCTAAAGTTGGCATTAAGACCATTAAACAGTGAGTGGGGACACATTGAATATGTAGATATAATATTGTACATTCTGGTATATTTAATTTATATTTGCATGTTCTTGCTCTTTTGTTTCGTCCTAATTTTTATAACCAACAAAATCAAATACATTATATCATCACATGGGCCATTGTGCTCAGGATTCATTAATAAAACTTAAAAAGCATTTTTTTTAAAAACATTCATTTAGCTCAAAATTTGAAAAAGTTTTGAATGTAAAAATGCTTGTCATTTGTTCCTACTCTCTAATATATCAAGGGCCATTATAGTTGTACAGCAAGGAATGACCCCATCAGCTAAACAAGCACTAGTTGATATGGCTCCTAAGTACATACTGGAGCAGTTTATGGAGGCGGAGCTTATGATTAATATAACTGAACATGAGGTGAGTGGGCGTGGTTTGGAAGTGGTTTATATAGCTTTGTAGTTGGTTCCAGAACATATTGTGATGACAACTGAGGAAAAGAGAGAATTATTAGCAAGATAGTATCCTAAAGCCCAATATATACTAGGCTAGCAACTTCTGTAGTTACTGTAATCTTGTACCTAAGTACACGTACCTAAGAATAGACTTCTGTTCTATTTTTGGAACAAGTTGATTATAAGTCAAAGTAAACACAAAATGTTAATGTTAGTATACAGTGTAGCCTCTATATAATGGACACTTTGGGGCAAGAATGTGTTTCTGTTATACAGAGGTGTCCTTTATGTGGAGGTTATTTTATACAGTAAGGAATGTAATTGGTACACTAGGTGCTGTCCGTTAAATGGAGGTGTACGCTATAGAGAGTGTCCATTAAGAGAGACTATACTGTAATTTATTTTAGTTGTTTTTTCTCTTAATAACAATGATTAGTAAATTAAAGGAGCACCAGTTGCCTAAGATACAGTCAGGTGACCCTGTTGCTAGGTACTATGGGCTGAAAAGAGGACAAGTAATGGATACCAAATTTCTAAAATTATCTCTCTCTTTCTCTCCTTCCTCCATTCATTAGGTAGTAAAGATCATAAGACCAAGTGAAACAGCTGGCAGATATGTCACATACAGACAATTGTACAATAAACACGATTTCAGTTTTGGAAAATTTATTATTAATCAGCAACACCTTTAAAGCTTTACGATATTGATATCAAATGAATACTGTATGATAATGGTATGAGCTGTGGTTGGGTATTTCCATTTTCTTTCTTCAAAACAGTTCATTTTACCATAGATAATAGAGTAAACATAGTAAATGAATTTTCTCTATGATAGTATGGATTTTACCACCGGAAATGCCCCGCCCTACATTACTACACAGTACAGTACAGTACACAGCCCTGAGTGATTGGCCTGATACAGAAAAATCAATGAATTAAGTCTGATTTACAGCCCTGACTGCATCATTGTTGGGTCATGCCTGTTGCTGTGCAGGCTACCCAAAATCCATGATACAGGGATGTGTCAGGTGGGGTCATTACTGATCTTATCAGATTAAAATTTAGTGATGGGCGATTCCGAGTCCGGAGTATTCGATTCTTCTATTCCGAATGAAATCGTACTCGTATCGAAAGAGAAGTAGGAATCGTTTGAAACGATTCCGAATCAAACCACACCAGCCACACCCTTTAATATTAATAATAGTTAATTAATCAGTAGTTAATACATCAAAGGACCTTTTTTCCTTTTTATTGCTGTAATTGATACCACGTGGCTTTGCGCATGCGCAGATGTAATACTCGGAATCGGTATTCGATTCCATCGATTCCAGTTTCAAAAGTATTCAGAATCGGAATCGAATGCAAATTTCTGGAATCGCCCATCACTATTAAAATTCTTGGCTCTGTAGCCAGTAGTGATGGGCGATATGGCCAATTTTCTTAATTTTCAA